ATTGTGGATTATTCTAAAATTGCTTTACTAATGGCGCGAATTGCTGAAACGATTTTTAACTGATTATGATATTTTAAAACTTTTTGGATATTTTCTGCAAACTAAACAATTTAATCTTTCTTTTTACATTAAATACCCCTTTTTTTGATATGAGTGATAAAGTGGCCAAAGGGCCGGTAAAATTATAGCCCGACTTGAAGAAGGTTGTTCGCAAACTTACGTGTCTCAGCGGCTAAATGTGAGTCGTTCAACTGTCCAGAGGACTTGGCAACGGTATCAAGAGACCGGTTCGGTCAAAAGAAGACCCGGTTCGGGAAGAAAACGATGCACAGAACCAAGAGATGACCGCTTTTTGGTGAGTCAGGCGTTGCGGAATCGTAAGGCGTCAAGTGTGGACCTGAAGAAGAGCCTTGAAGAAGTAAAAGGAGTAGAAGTTAGCTTGTGGACGGTCAGGAGGAGGCTTTTGGCTGCCAATATCAGGAGTTACCGCCCAGCTCGGGGCCCTAAATTACTCCGTGAGCACCGTGTTGCTCGACTTCAGTTTGCTTGGAACTGTGCTTCATGGACTCTGGAGGACTGGAATAAAGTATTGTTTTCTGATGAAGCTAGAATCTCTTTGTGTGGAGAGGACCGATGCCGGCGAGTGCTGCGAAGACCATGGGAACGCTATGCGGAAGTATGTTTCGAAGAAATCACTTCTTATGGCGGAGGCTCCGTTATGTTTTGGGCAGCAATTAATTCGACGGAGCGTACGGAGTTAGTTTTCATAGAAAATGGAACATTAAATGCACACCGGTACATAATGGAAGTCCTAATTCCATATGCACAACCCACATTGACTGCACTTGGGGAAGATTCCATTTTTATGGACGACAATGCTCGCCCGCACCATTCTGGCGACGTGGAAGCGTACATGCAAGAAGTTGGGATCCGTCGTTTAGATTGGCCAGCTCGAAGTCCTGACCTCAATCCAATTGAGCATGTCTGGGATGTTTTAAAGAGACGGGTAAGATCAGTGCAACCTGCTCCACAAAACATCAGGGAGCTAAAAAGAGTCATTGCAGAAGAGTGGGAACGTATTCCTCGAAACGTTATTAAAAACATCGTGAAAAGCATGCCCAGAAGGATTCAAGCTGTGATTTTGGCTAGAGAAGGTCACACTCGTTATTAGGTTTTTACATTTGTAACTTTATAAAAAAAAATCTTGTGTTTATTGCCGACCACTTCGTATTGTTTGGGCGTGTACATCGGTTTTAAAGAATCCATCGTTTTTTTTTTTCTTTTAATTGCCCGAATTCACTTCACGCGCATTAATTTACACGATTATAAGTATACAGACTAAGTCAAAGAAATAAATTTCATTTAATTAACTCAAATCGACTTTAGAACGTAAATTTCCTTAGGTGCCCGTTTTTTTTGCAAAAGAGTGTATTTATGAAAAGTAAAAAAGACCTCGCAAGTTCGTGGAATTACAATTCATCTATTTGCCAAGTTTTATTGAAATCGGTTACCGGAAAGTGCGCGAAACCGGACTCATCTCTGATTCGCCACCCTTAGAGGTGGCATATTATCTTCAAATTTAAATGGGACCAATATTGAGGTACCCTCTTTTCAACAAAATCGGTTCACAAATAACAGAGTAATCGCTTAACATAAAAAAAAGTACAATCGTATTGAGAACCTCCTTTATGAAGTCGGTTAAAAATAGAGAACGCGCGAATACAAAAATGTTCCCCAAGAACTGTGGAACGACTTCAAAAAGCTTTCGAAACTGAAAGGATCTGCTTACGGTAGTGAGTAAATCTTAATATTTCAACAAAGTCTCTTAACTTCACAAGTTTTTCTAAAAACTTTCTTATTTCCACAAAAGTAGGAGCAATTTATAACGAGCAACATTGCAGATGACGTTAATATTTCAAGCCGTATGCAGAATATTGCAGTAAGCCCATATTTCACTGTACTCCGGAATTTAGTTTCACAATTTGTCTGCGAAATCCGAGGAAGGAAACAGCGGTGCACTGACTTAATTTGTTTTTGCGAGTGAAATTATTACATAATTTTCATTTCTTTTACTCTACGGCAGGTTTTTAAAAAAATACACAGAATGTGTAAGATTTGTTTATTTGTCAATATCGGTCAATGCTTACCTATGCTTACGATCCTGTCGTAATCTCACCCATCTACGCCCACTACGTGGAGCGCGCAATAAGTTTCCGTAATAAGTAAGAAAAAAATACTATAAATGGTCAGAAATGAATTTATTGTTTCTCAAAATATTCTCCGTTAGCGTTAATGCACTTTTTCATACGAATCAACCAATTTTGAAAACGTTTATGCCACTCCTACGTAACAATCTCTGAAACATATTTTTCATACTCTTCGACAGCCTCTTCAGGTCATGAAAATCGTTGACCGCTTAACTGGTTCTTAATTTTTGGAAATAAATAAAAGTCACAAGGTGCCAGGTCGGGACTGTACGCGGGATGGCTCATAAGGTCAACGTTGTTCACCTTCAAAAATTAATTTGTCTGTCTGGCCGTGTGGGCACTTTACACGCGCGCCACTTTGGTTGGTTTCGGCTCACCTTGAAAGACCCATACGCTCGATTGCTGCTTTGTTTTGGGATCGTAACTATAAATCCATGTTTCGTCACCTGTTATCCCATAACAAATTTGACGCCCCTTCGTTGAATCTGGTAAGCATGGCATTGCACCAAGTGACGCGATTCGTTTTTTGAGCCTCAGTCAAATTGTGTGGGATCCACCTAGAGCACAGCTTTTTCACACCCAAGTGTTTGTGTAGTATTGATTGTATTTGACTCATGCCTATGCCTAAAGATGCCCAAATTTCGTGTTATGTCTGTTTTGATCATACGGCGCACAGCATCGATGTTTTTGTTGTTCACAGCAGTGGACGGGCGACCATCGCGAAATTCGTCACTAAGATTCACACGACCGCGTTTGAATTCTGCAAACCAGCTATAAATAGTCGTCTTGCATGATGCTTCATCGCCAAAAGCAGTTTGAAGTCGAGTGAAGCTCCGCTGAGTTATTAAATTACACTTAAAGTCGTAGAAAATCATACTACGAAAATTTTCACGAGTTAAATCCATGGTGATGTAGACAACCAATTTGTAAAAAGACAGTCAGATTAAACAAACTGTATTCTACAGCGAAAGAATTTCATTTTCTAATGTTGTAATTACTTTTAAATATTGTTTTTGTAAGTGGCCAGTTCCGGAAAGTTTTAGTGCTCCCTATGTACAACCCTCGATGCCTGTATCATTGAAACGATGTAAGTATTTGACAAGTAGCGCGCGGTCTCAGAGACCGCAGCGACCTTTTACGAAATCTGTAAAGAATAAACGGACGCGCGACCGTGATATCCTCGAGGGGGTCAGGTACTTCCCCTTAGTAGCCCTGTGACATTCGTCGCAAGCGCACATGTGTCTTTATTTGTGTTTACGGTCTCAGATTCCGCGCGCGACCGGTCGTGTTCCAGAAAAATTCATAGAATGAAATGGAAACCTGGGTGAGTATGTCACGTTATATGTACTATATTAATGACAAAATTACATTATTTTATTTATTATATATTAAATTATTTGTTATTTCACTATTTGTTGTAGACACACCATGAGTTACGAAGAATCACAACGGCTTGCTGAGGAGGCGGAAACATAAGATGAAGATTTTGATGATGTCAAACCATTGCTACTGATAATGAGTAGGTTATCGTACTACCTGCTTCAAAAAAGTTAGAAGTTTTTTATTTTGTTTTCCTTTTTTATTTTATAAGAATAGAAATATTACGGAGAACATCATGAAAAAAAAACATTCGAAAATAATTGTCATTTCAGAGTTCCTACAATATTGTGCAATTGATGACAATATTGATTGATATCGATAATAATCTATTATAATGTGCTTATGAACGATTAAGATAGAAAATTTCATCTTGTTTTGTTGATTTTTAACGTTGTTTGTGTCATATGACTAAAATTTGTAATTTTTATAGACTGTTCAACTAATAAGTACAAATTAAAAAAATAATTAGTAAATAATGTTTTTTTTATTTTCATTTACATACATAAAAGACTTTTTTATCATGTGCTACACAACATTATGAAAATATTAATTTGCTTTCTCAAACTGAACGCGTAAAGTTGCGATCTACAGACAGGACGCGATATTCGGCGCAAGGGTGCGACACTGGAAGGTTAACATTATAAAAAAAAATTAAAAAAGCACACCATTAAATTGCTTTTGCAGAAGTGTGCAAGTTTCCACACGATGTGCTTTTTCATCGAAAAGTTCACGGTAAATTTCACATTAAATGTGCATAATGAATTCCGATAAACTCAAAGGTGCAAGCCCGAATTCGAATAGACAACTCTCTGCTTGCAAGGTGGTAAATCAAATCATGAGGCTAATTTAGTAAACGATAATTGAGTAGGATTGGTTATTTTCCTAGGCCACATCTTCCAATAGATAGTAAATAAGTTTAGTAACAGTAGAGGTCTTTTTATTTTAATTTAGCAGCAGACCTTAAAAAATAGTTATTTTAAATTTTACTTTTAGAGCAGTAGAGCTCCTTCTGATAGAGTTCGTCTAGGGAAGTACTGTCAACATACCTATGTCTGCCGCCAAGCAGTAATGTAAGCATTACTGCGTTCTGGTTTTGACGAGTATGGGTGCTGGTGAAACTACAGGCACATGGGACTTGTCAACTTTATATTTGAGGGTGACGGGCGCAGTGGCAGTGATACTCAGATCTTTGCGATTTAAAGCTTTCAGTGGCACTGTTCTAACTACTTTGGATACACGTGTCGCTTACCACCAGGCCCACGACTTGTTCATCCTGTCACTTGATGTCATAAAAAAGGTGACATTGAAGACGAACCTAAACTTGATAAATTAAACAATGTAATATTTTTTATAATACTCTATTAAAGTCAATAATTTAAATAAGTACACTTAAAATAATAAGTATTTGTTTCAAGTACGTTCTTGTTATCTATTCGTAATCGTACCTCTGGTGCCAGGAAGTAATAGAGATCAAAATATTACACAATGTATTATCACAATGTTTCAGTATAAGTTATATACGACCCTTTACTAATGTTCCGTTGTATATTGTCAATATGAAATACCCTATTTCGATTATTTAACTACTTGCTGCCTTTTAGGCATATTACTTTCAAGCGAACATGTGCGCCTGCAAGTTAGGTACACGTAACTCTTATTTATATTCGAGGTACGTCTACGTCTGGTACGACGTACTCTACAACAAGCACACATAACATATAAAATATCTCTCACATTAACATTTAAAGGACGCTTACAGAGATGAAATTTGTCAGGAATGTTTGTTTTTTTAAATTACTTATTTGCATATATAGGGTAATTTATACCGATTTGCATTTTATAAATCGTTAAAAAATTCCCCATATATTGGGAAAAGTCACGCTATTTCAACTTTATTACTCATTCGAAACATATCAAGGTCATTGATAATGACAAAGATTTCACAAAATTATTCTTTTTCTTAAACATGGTTGCTATTTTTACTAACTAATTCCTTTAATTCTCTACATCCATCATGATCATCTTGGCATATGACTTCATTAAGTTTCTTGACTTCACTGCGCTCATACAAAACACCTTGTAGCTCCACTTGTATCTCTGTTAAACTTTTACCTTTTGTCTCAGGAACGTAAATGATAGAAAATATGCACCCAAAAAGCGACCCTGCCGCAAAAACCCAAAATACTCCATATAAACCAGAATAATCCTTAATAGACTGATATGCTTTGGTTATAACAAAGTTAAGAGCACCTCCAAATACACTAATGTACGTCATTGCAACAGCTTTTACGTTTAAAGGAAATATTTCTGCTGGAACTACAATAATTAGAGACTGGAATCCTAAACCTGAAATTATACTGGAGCTTATGATACCAGCTAAAGGTACGAAATTGAATGAAGGTATAGAAATATTTAAAGCTTGTACTAAGAAGAAGTATATTCCAATGAAGAGAAGGAATATACCAGTACCGCCGTAGGAATATATTAAAAGTGGACGGCGACCGAGTTTGTCCACGAGGAATGATGCCAACACACCTGCAATAAAACAAAACTCTTTAAAGAACATTCACATGTAACTCAAGTGAGTTAAGTAGATTAAAGTGTAGCGCTTGGCATTGAATATAAATTTTGTATACCGTACAAACATAGTCGATCGTAAAACCGGAAGTAAATCAATTAAATGTGAAGCTACTCAGCGTAAAATTAATAAACTAAATGCTACAAGCGCAGTTGCAGTCGCTAATACTAACACCAAAAATATACTCGAAACATATTAGCCTCTTTACGAGTGAGGCTGGATCTTCAGGGGTACTGATTGTTGGACGCTCGGCCGAGGAATGAGCTTGCTCAGAACGGTTGGTCATATTTGTTTGAGGCTATCAACGCAAAAGTGATTTAACCTGCATTAATTTTTTTTTCTACAATATTACTTTATATGATACTAAAGTACATAATTATTTTATACTTAGGTGCTATTTTCATTTTTTTTAATTATACATGAATGTAACATCGAGATGTAAATAATCAAATATATGTACATTAAGCAAAACTATCTAGGGATCAAGCACATTTGTGCCAATTACTGAAAGTCAGGTTTTATATTTATTTTTTTATAACACCATTGGTTTGTTTGGTCAGTTTCATAATTTAATAAATAAAAAATTTAATAAATTTATATACATATTTTTACTTAGTTTAATAGGGTAATAAAATATTTAAAAAAACCTTGATCCCTGGACACTTAAGACTTTAGTATTATTCAAAGTAATATTGTAGACAATAATATTCATTGTGGGTTACACCACTTTTGCGCTGATAACCTCATTTATACCCCACTATCGCCACAATTATCATGTTTATAATTTAAAAAAATTAACAAAAACCCAGCTATTTTGCACAATTTATCCTTCGCAGGGTTCGCGGAGTAGCAAATTAATTTACCTCCATTTTTATTTCCGCAAAATAATGCCTGAATCTATTAACGATCGTAAAACAGTCGAACAAATTAATTTCAAAAACTCTCCTATTAAACAACCTGCAGATGATTAAATATAACGCTTGTAATATTAACAGTACCCACCAACAATAAATCGTAAACTACCAACAATAATGAAAACCGTTGATAGTGCCATTTCAGACTCACTCTCTTTCATTATTAATCCTAGATATTCCTGTATTATCAGTTGCCCCGCCGCTATTTGGCTAAATTTCAAACCTGAAACAAATAACGTAAATATATATATTTCATAATCCACCTCACTTTCCATTTGAAATAATTTTTTACCACTAACTTGTAAACAGTATAAATCAGGGTGTCACCGATATAATAATTAATATGATAATAATGATCACTGACAATTATCATGACAATTATCAAGATAATTATCGCGATAACTATCTTGATAAATATATCTCGATAATTTATAAAATTAATACTAACATAATATGTCAAATCAACAACAAAATGCTAGCGCTAAGCAATGTCGTGCCATGTGTTTGTATCAAAGACATACCCAATCGTAAAAAAGTCACAAACAAAAACCGTTTTCCCCACAAATTTTTTTTCGTTTTTATTTAGTTTTCTCACTGTTTATCATTTTTAGTCCAAAATTAAAGAGACAATAGTATAAATCAACACGGACAATTATTGGATATATATCAGATAATTATAAAAGATAAATAAATTTCTTGATAATTTCGAACCCTGGTATGAAATTATACCTGTAGATATAACTAGCATACCTGTAGATATAACTAGAGCTCTCCTATATTTTTTTCCGGTAAATAGTTCTCTCGCAGAGGTAGAATGTCTCATATCGTTCTTGACATCTGTATGCATTTGCAATAATTGATCCTCTAATATCTGCAACAGAAGACGCACGACGTCTGAAAATATAACAAAAAATATAGAGTTCAAACTTGTTACAAAGTAAGCCAACATAAGTGGTCGCGGCGAGGTTCTCTTGCAGTACCGCGAGCCAGCGCACACTAGTGGCAACTTCTTGTCTTCTATCCCTTTTACTCAAAAACATTTTGGCACAGTAGAAAAAAGAAGAGAGAATGCATTCGATGCTATGCCTAACTAATGAAATTAAAGTATCACCAAAGAAGCGGATATTGGTTTGAATGCGAAAGTTAAACATAGCCAATAGAAATTATATGGGAAATTTAAATTATAATAATTCGTGTCTGTAATAAGTCAAACATTATCTGTGAATATCGAGTTCTTAGGTTTTCGCGATTGTTACGCATAGGAAATGAAACTATTTTCCCGGATTAAAATCGCGTATATTTGTTTATCTATATTATCTGTGAATATAAGATACAAATCATCAAAATGTTCAAATCAATTTAGTTGATATTTTCATAGAGACATTGCCAGTGCGTCCGTCTTCCTGATACATAAGTTGACAGACAAGTCCCATGTGCCTGTAATAGGTGAGATGGCTGTACTCCCCTGGACGAATTCTTTCACAAGGAGTTCAACTACTACGTTTTTTCCATGAATTGTACATATTCTACGAATAATTTACTCGTGAAAACAATTTCCAAGAGTCATTTTTTTCAGTAAATTTCATTCTCAATAGCTTCGAATTAATCTGTTAAGAAATCACTCACCTTTTCATCCTTACAACCCCGAATTTTCCGCAAAACTTTTCTAGCATTATCAACTTTTCCTTCTTTCAGGTAATAGTATGGGGATTCAGGTATCCAGAATGAAGCTAGTAAATGTATAATTGGTAACCCAAGTAACATATAATTCAAAGTTTTGTATGAAACGAATGGGCCCACACACATCATCAGGAGGTTCCCAAAGCTGAACATATATCTTGATATAAGACCCAATGAGCCTCGAATTTCTTTATCTGCTATTTCTGCTAAGTAGAGGTTTGCTGTCTGTAATTAGAGAACAAATATTATAGGTATGACTAATTTGATGAGCTAGGCAGTGCCAAACAAAAGGGTTTTTCTTTTCTTAAATTATATTATTCAAAGAAATAAAATGTTAATGTCAGGAAACTGACCCATCTAGCAACCAATCGGTGGTACCTAATTGGCTCGTTTTTTTCTGTGATGTTTCTCCAAATAATGAAAAAACGGCTCATTCTCTGATCTAATTCCCTAGTTTGATCAGATAATCTCATATTAACGACATAATTAGCTCTTTTGAGAAACTCTTGTTAAAATCCCTTTGTGGGCTCTATATAAGTTAGTTCTTCATTGTTGAGCCATCACCAAAATATCTATCTAATTGGTATGTCTTACAACTGGACACCTTTAGTCCGATATTGACCAATGAAGAAAGGTAATGGCTCTTTGTTAATATGCAATGGTTGGTATTTACAGTTATTTAATACAATCACAGTACCACGTAACTTAAAATTAATTGAATATATAAATGCGTGGATCAACTTACTGTGGCATTAACCCCTACCCCGAGTCCCCATAGAAATCTTACTAGGTACAGTGGCCAAGTCTGCACAGTAAATACAGCGATGAGCTGAAATAAAATACAAATTCGTCATTAAACGCCATTAAAAAAAGAGTGTCTTTAAGAGAGAAGTTTAAAGAAATTAACTTTATTAACACTAACGTGACAGTATGTTAATGAAAATCTAATTTACGTAAAGAAGAATAGTATTTTTGTAATGAAAAATAGTGATTAACCGTAACATTAATTCGAGAAATAACAATAAATTGACTGTTCTTGACAGTCGTCTTCACGAAGTCACAACTTTAGGTACAGGGCAATATATCACAATCAAAGAGGTTTATCGCCATAATACTCTTGTCGGTGGAGCATCTACCAACCATCTTTCTTATAAGCCAGCTCCTTGACTTCCTTATACGACACGACATCGATCTTTTCCTTTATTTGGTCTATGTAACTGGGCCTAGGGTCTTACCCTGAATCTTTTCGTCCAAAACGGTCTTAAAGAAATTGTCGTGTCGTATCAAATGTCCAATCATTTTCCTGTGTCTATACTCTATAGCAGCCTTTCCCAAAGTAAGCGATAACGCCCACTTGTGGGCGCTGCAGGCCTAAAGCAGGGCGGTAAGAGATCCAGAAAAAACATGGGGGCGTTGTGTGTGTGAGATTTGTAATTTCATCTAGGAAGACTCTAAGGATCGTATTCTAGAACTCTACTCAATGCTCAAGTCAGGATTTGAGAATGGTTCAAAGCACTCGAAATCATACTCAAGTCCCTTCCATTAGGGTCGTATTTCCAGTGCTTGAAATCATACTCAGATCCTGACTTGAGCAATGAACAAAAGCAAAAAGGAATACGACTCTTAGGGTCGTATTCTAGAACTCTACTCATTGCTCAAGTCAGGATTGCACTGGAAACACAAGCACTGGAAATACGACCCTAATGGCAGGGACTTGAGTATGATTTCGAGTGCTTTAAACCATACTCAAATCCTGACTTGAGCATTGAGTAGAGTTCTGGAATACGACCCTTAGACACCGACTGAGCTCTCGACTCGCGACTGTAACTTGTGAACATCAACTAATATTAATTAAGAGATTGCTCAAACTAACTCGGTTCGATATTTCTCACCGTGTAGTTCATATATTTTATTGAATAAATAAAATAAAAATCATGTCAATCGGTCGCTCCGTTTCGAAATGAAATTAGACACAAACAAATAAAAAGGCAACAGACACAGTTTTGCATTTGAATAGTTATTAGTATTCCTAAATAGGTAATTTTCGTAGATAATAGACCGCGGGCAATCATGTTTTAACAAGTTTTTGTTTAATAACCCGATTTGTGCATTCCTGTATCAATCGGCTGGTTCATAGAATACTTGTTCTTACTTGTTGAGTGCGATTGAGCGTCGCATGAGATAAACGAGTTTATGCATGTTTGTCTTATTCCTGTCGGTGCGTGCTGTTTATGCAATCCTATATAAACAACGTAATATTTATTTTATTTTCATTTGCGGTTTCGCCCGTAATAGATAAGCAATACTTAAGTTCAACACTTACCTACTTACGTATTTCTCAAAACAAAACAATGTCGGAAGTAAAAAAGAAGAGACGGCAATACTGTGCAGAATATATTAAATTCGGATTCATTGAAAATCCCATAAACCCGTCGTCGCCTTTGTGCCTTCTATGTCTAAAAACATTTTCGAATGAAGCAATGAAGCCTTCAAGACTGCAAGATCATTTGAATAAAATGCATCCAGATAAGAAAGACAAGAATGTAGCATATTTTCAAAACCTAGAGAAGAAGCATAATACTCAGCCAAGTGTAGCAAAACTCTTTTCGGCGGCTGCTAAGCAAGATGACGACGGACTTCGAGCTTCGTACAATATCTCTTTGTTAATTGCTCAAAAAGGCAAACCACAGAGCATCGTAGAACAGTTAATTTTGCCAGCAATAAAGGAAGTAATAACTACTGTGCTTCATAAACCGGCCGCAGATATTATCCGAAAAATTCCTTTGAGTAATAATTCTGTGCAAAGACTAAGAATTGAATTGAAAGAGAAAGAGAAAGAATTGATGAAATAGCTGAAAACATTGAAGAATCATTGTGCAATCATCTGAGGACTAGTCAATTCTCATTTCAGCTTGATGAGTCCACTTTACCAACTAATGACGCATTGTTGCTGTCTTACATGAGGTTTATTAAAGATTAGAAAAATATGTGAAGAACTATTGTTTGCTAGAAATTTGGAGACCGATACAAAAGGCGAAACCATATTCAATACATTGGAAAAGTTTTGTGATGAGAAAGAGATTCCCTTGAAAAATATTATATCAGTTGCTACGGATGGCACTCCGGCCATGACAGGGTGCCATAAAGGCTTCATAGCGTACTTAAAAAATAAATTTTTTTCATATACAACATTTGGTTGCTAGAATTTTAAGTGAACGACAATTTCAATCGCTGCAATATGACATCAAAGCAGTCAATAAAATCCGTAACAGCTCTTTGAATCATAGATTATTTTATCAGCTTTGTGTTACTAATGACGAAGATTTCAACCGTTTGTTGTTTCATACTGTTGTTGTTGTTGTTGCTGTTGTTGTTTGTTATTGGCTATCAAGAGGCAATTGTCTGACTCGATTTTACAATCTGTTTGACTCTGTGATAGAGTTTTTAGAAACTAAAGATACAGAATTGCGCAACAAGCTCATTACATCAAAGAATGTTAAATATAGCTTACATGACAGACCTGTATAAATTGTTCAACGACATGAATCTCCAACTGCAAGGTGATGAACTAAATTTATATAAAATAAAAAATGTCGTTGCTGCTTTCGCAGCCAAACTGCTTCTACACAAAAAGAATACGGGCAGATGTGAGTTTCACAATTTTCCGAATTTATCAGTATCCTGTTGTAACGACGACTTGTTTGCCTACTACCAGTATTTGGAAAACCTCCATATTGACTTCACCGAACGATACCAGGACATTTTGAACTTGGAAATACCAGACTGGGTGTTGGATCCGTTTTCAAATGTCAACACAGCAATATCACCTCAGCTGGAAGAAGAACTTATAGAGTTGGCAACGAACGAGGAAATGAAAATCAAGTTCAAAAATAGCTACCAAGAATATTGGCTACAAAAACCGATCCCGTAATTGTACCCTGGATTGTGGTCAATCTTTCAACGATTCTTGATAGCATTCCCGTCATCATATTTGTGTGAACGTGGTTTTAGTGCTGTGACAACGCTGCTTACTAAAAAGAGAAATTGTTTGCATGTTACCGAACGTGGCGACTTGCAGCTGCTCTTGAGTAAATTGGAACCTGATATCAACAAACTTATTAAACAGCATCGGATTCATCCTTCACATTAGTTTTTATATTAGAATCGATTATGTTTGTTTTATTTTGAATAAAAGATACTCTGTCTGAACACTATAAAGTTGCGTTTCAATAATCATTCTCATTGGCAAGTGTAGCCCGTAAGAGTTAACTTGAGACCTAAGCACCATCGTGTATTACCTACTGCGCTCAGGTCTCAAGTTAACTCTTGCGGGTTATAGTAAAAGTCTCGTTTAGAATGAATGTTTAATCTCTGCTAATATAGCTCACAATAATTAATTTAAATTGAAGTTAAGTTTTGGTTTTTAAGTAGGTGAAAAAATGGGGGCGCTAAAAAATAATTTATTCTCAAAGTGGGCAGTAGACAAAATAAGTTTGGGAACCCCTGCTCTATAGTAGTCAGGATCGTTCTTTTCTCAATACTTCCTCATTGGTTTTTTTCTTATCCAACCTATGCCCTTCATCCTTCTCCAGCACCACACGTCAAAAGCTTCTAATCTTTTCCTGTCTCTTTGTGTCAGTGTCCATGTTTCACATCTATAAGGGCAATATTTATGCTTCTATAACACAATTTCGGTTGATATTCAAAATTTGACATTTACGAGATATCAAATTACAGTAAAACAAAAGCTTTACACCAAAGGTTATTTAATATACAGCTTCCGCGTACTTGACAAAAATACATGGACTCGTGATATTTAAACTTATTTGAAGGAATATTGTAAATGACAAATGTTTATTTACAAAGGGCAAGCCCTAGAGTTCATTGCTCATTCTTCTCAGGCGAATCTGCCCTACGAATGAGTAGTACCTAGGGTTTAATCAATGTGACGATTTCAAGTGTAATTTGCTTACTTATGAAATAAAGGTCATTTGAGTTTAAGTTTAAAGAACCAGGTGTGCAAGTAACCACCAACCACCAAGCACCATCTGATTTACCACGCAACACATGAAATTTCCATTATTCTTTGTTTATGGGTTATTAGTTTTGTCGGCCATGTCTAATTGATTTTCCACAGCACTGAACATAATAAGGCGTATGTTTAGGAAATAGACACATCAGTATCTCAGTACACCCGACTGAATAAGTGAAGTGAGACAGTGTTTACTATTACAACGCGAGTTATGTCATTTTATTATCATGGGCACAATTTCAAGATATACAAGTTAAGAATTGATCTCGGCGGAAGCTCTCCTTCGCACCTTCTTTATATGAACTAGAGAAACCTTAGTGTCATCAAACCTACTTCCTCAGCGGTCGCTTTTATCTGATATCATCATCATCATCATCATCATCCACAGCCCAACTTCACCCACTGCTGGGTACAAGGCCTCCCGTAGTTTGTGCCATCAGCCACGATCCTGTGCTAATCTCACCCATCTACTACTACGTGGGGCGCACTATAAGTTTCCGGAATGAATAAGAAAAAAATAATATAAATGGTCAGAAATGAATTTACTGTTTCTCAAAATATTCTCCGTTAGCGTTAATGCCCTTTTTCATATGAATGAACCAATTTTGAAAACATTTATGCCACTCCTCCATGACAATATCTGTAACATATTTTTCATACTCTTCAACAGCCTCTTCAGGTGATGAAAATCGTTGACCGCGTACCTGGTTCTTAATTTTTGGAAATAAATAAAAGCCACAAGGTGCCAGGTCGGGACTGTCCGCGGGATTACTCATAAGATCAATGTTGTTCACCTTCAAAAATTCATTGTCTGTCTGGCCGTCTGAGAACGGCGTTTACGGCAATTTTTAAGGGGTTTGTCAATAACTTCCGGCAAGCAAATGGTCATGTACCAATCACTTTTCACGGTACAACGATTCTCCAAAGCAACAGTACCCACCTGTCCAATTTTATTTAAAAAAGAAGCAATCATCCGCTTAGAGGCACTTTGCACGCGTGCCGCTTTGGTTGGTTTCGACTCATCTCAAAAGACCCATACGCTCGATTGCTGCTTTGTTTTGGGATCGTAACTATAAATTTATGTTTCGTCACCTGTTACTATGTCCTACACCAAATTTGACGTCCCTTCGTTGAATGTGGTAACCATGGCATTGCACCAAGTGACGCGATCCGCTTTTTGAGCCTCAGTCAAATTGTGTAGGATCCACCGTGAGCACAGCTTTTTCACACCCAAATGTGTATGTAGTATTGGTTATATTTGACTCATGCCTATGCCTTTATTTAGCATCGTTACTGGGATCGCCAACCAGTTTGTCAAGAGTGGCTATTTTAATAGATCCATCTATTTGATGGGGTATACGTTCTCCTGCAGTGGCAAACGCCGATGATTTGTAATAACTAATAAAATATAACAATGCGCTCCGAGTGCTGGTGTGGCTGCCCCGCTTTTGTAGCAGTCAGGGATGTTCGCAGAAGCAAGAACGGATTGCTTTTACGCGACCTTGATGATTTTGATTATATGAGCCCGTCCCAACTCCATCCTGCGCTTGATAAGGATAGGCCCGATTGTCCATACATGAGGCCCAGTTGTGAACTGCATATATTCAACTGTGTCTATTGTGCACAATTCTGTACCTTACTAATATTAGTATTGATTGGCTAACTAACAAATTATATGACTCAATGTTATTTGAGATAAATGACGTATTAATAAGCATTTAAGTGGAAGCTGACTATTTGTTGACTACTCACGGAAGCTATTATTATAGGAATAACACTGCCGAGCATAGTGGCGCGCCTTCCATACTTGTCAATCACAAACCGAGAGATCAGATTCCCTGACACGAAACCAGGGGACGATATTGCTACTATCCAAGATATTTCTTCCTGAAAGCAAAAAAAAAATCGTATTGAAGAAGAAGAAGAAGTCATCTTGTTGCTTTTCCGTCTTGAATGAATCCCTAGCCGTCTGGTAATGGTCGATTGTATGTGTTGATAATAATTCATTTTACAGTGTAGAGCAAATACTTTTGAAGAAATTATAATTTTATTTTTATGTCACTTTGTTGTGTCTTGACAATATTTTGTGTTTATTTGTTTACTTATAGTATTGTGTTTTAAATTATAATAATATAAAATAAATAATTATATTCCACTCTACCCTTTGTCGTCATGTATAGTCTCCGTTTGTTGTGTATTTTAACTACCTACATACTCTCTACTCATAGCCCTGCACTAGGGCAACCTTGTGACGCGGGTGCCATGGTGACACACGACAATCACAAATTACACCCAACTCACGAGAGAAACAAATGTAGGCCATATAAATATTTCTCCCGGCCCGGGAATCCAACCCGCGCGACAGACCAACTCTGCGTGACAGACCAGCATGGTAACCGTTCGGCCACAGAGGCAGTAAAGTATATGTATTGATACATATTATTATTCATCTCGTAACTTTATTATGTCAATTATATAACGTACGAACAGTAGCTGCGAGAATTTCCGAGGTAGCTCAACAATTCTACACAACGAGTTTCTGAGTTTCACTTATAATCGACTAAGTTGATTATGCTATGGTTACTAAATTTCGCTTTCAATCCATTCCACAAAGCAAAGTAATTGAACCTTACGGTTGTCATCTGCACTAAGAGACTCCCGATTCCTAAGTCATTAAGACAATTAAATAGTACGATAAACAATGCGGACGTAAGGCCAATAATTTCAAGCAAATAATAAAGATGACTAGACAGAATCATAAAGACTTTACAATTACGCACGTGTTTCATTTCATAGCAGCCTGTATGTCCAATTGTAGCTGATGCAAATTACATGACGCATGTATATTCTCTTAAATAATGCGTTTATAAATATTACCAAACTTATATAATGATTTGAGATAGAGTTATTATGCTATAGTTATTATGCTGCTTAGACAAACTACGGATCTAAACAAAATGTAACATATTTTAAGGTTTAGATATGAGTACGTTGAGCAAGTGCACCTCCCTGTTGGAAACTTGCGTTTTAGTGTTTATATAATGTCATAATGATATGCTAAATGGTCTCAAATAGAATATTCCATGCACTATGAGAGTACCAGAATACTCAGACCAGAACGAATTAAAAAAAGTCATTTCCAAAATGGTCCTACTGGAAATCGTGCTCAGGACCTCCTGATTCAGCACCCATAGTGCAAGCCCTTAGGCCTCCGAGATCGCCAATACTAGCATACTTTTGACATAGTATAAAAAGACAAGTAGAGTAACTGCTGCTTGTTTGGGGCGACAATGCCTAAACGTCACTGTCAGCGTAGGGTTACTATTTTACTAGTTACTATTTTAGTTGTAGGTTGCAAAACATAACTGAAAAAAAAAGTCTACAAAGGTTTAGGTAATAAACTAAATGTAAACAAACCGTAATGAAGTATTTTATGAGGCATTACCTGGTTACTTATTGTAAAATAATAATAAACTTTTGTAAATTGTTCCAAATACACGATATCAGGTATTAGACAACATTCCCAAGTATCTATTTATTTTCTATTTATTTAAAATAGTACTAAGAAATAATATACTTAATATTATATTTAAATGAAGACGTTTTAATAACACATATCACAACTTCCCTACGATAAACAACTTAAAATCCAGCGTTTAAAAAGGTGACCGCTAATAACATGCGACCAAATTAAAGACATATGAAATTTATTACTAAATATTATATTTGACTGGTTAACCAAGTGACAGCTGAAGTTTGTTTACTTTTAGTTACACACACACATGTACAAGCCGCGCTGTTACATTAGTATGGAGTTACATTACTTGTCTTATTACCTTTACTATGTTTTTCCAGGCATCATTTTAGTTTCTAACGTTTTTTAAAAGGTAGCGGTCAAACTCGTTAGACTGCTATGTTCATAGACAGGAAATATAAATATTTAATTAAATAAAGGTGCGAACAGCAGAGTGAATGGTAAATACTTACATCAGTGACTAAAATGCCGGTCTCGTTATCATGAAACTTTGGCATGACAGGCCCTGGCCAAGCCGTATAGGTTCCCATTGCCACCGAAACTAGTGATACTGAAAATAACAACCTAATATTCTTAAATTATAATTATGTTCGTGTAATAAGGTCACATCTGCAAAATGACAACTTTTCAGGAGTGAGGTTTAAATATTCTACGAACGAAATTAGTCTATAACTTAAGAAATGAAACTATATTGCCCGATTTCAATCGCGTATATTTGTTTTTTTTTTTCAAACAAACCAACATTTCTTGCCACCTTCTACTAACTACTACCTCTAACTAACTTTACTACCGCAGTCAACCGTGACCATGGGACCTGTAAGGGGCCCGAAACGTTCGTTTGTTTGAAAAAACAAATATATGCGGTTTAAATTCGGAAATACAGTTTCATTTCCTATATGTAACAATCCCGAAAACCTAAGAACTCGATAGTCCATAACTTGCATATGCTTAAGTAGGATAGTTATAAAATTTCACATTTGCATGATTTGTTTCGTGTAGATCGTATTACTTTTATGACTTTCATGTCATAAAAGCACTTTTGACGTATGGCCACATGTGCCTTTATATATTATTATAATAATAATTAAAAAATATAGTTTATATACTTTTTTATTTAATCTTTTATGCCTTAGGAGAGGCGAGAGTCTAAAATAGATATAATAATAATAATCACTTACACACCCATAGCCACGTGCTAGGGAAACCCCGTGTCGCGGGTGCCATGGACACACACACATACACAAATATAACCACAAATTACACCCAAACCCTCGAGAAAAATAAATGTAGACCACACAAATATTTTTCCCGGCTCAGGAATAAACCCAAGACCTCTGCGAAGTAGACCGGCATGGTAACCGATCGGCTACACAGGCAGTTAAAATTTTAGTTGTTATTGTACCAAGGGCACGATACATCGCGTTTCGAACAACTTGTAGTGTTGACTACGGATTTGTAGTGACTTAACTAATGAGGTGGGCTGGTAAATGAAACTTCATATCGAGTTAACTTGCGGAAACTGAGTATGATTACATATGTGTGAGCAATATAAGAAAAAACGACAATCCCAGCCGACCGCTTACAAGTTTATTTGACTTTCGTAAACTAACTCGCGTTAAAGTTCTGTAGTATAGACGCGCCGGCTTAGCGGAAAATCCGAGGATACACAAGAATACACAAGATCCTTTATTCATAGAATTTTTCACGTCACCACTAATAATTGAATATGCAATTACTTATACATTCCTTTACATTGGTTACATATTGCCTTTGTAAAAAAGGAGGATTTGACCTTGATGATAGATTTGATTGATAATTGTCTGCAGTTGCAGTAATCATTCGCGCTCCCTGTCCTGCTTCCCAAGGCCGAATCTCGAAAAGCAACCCACGAGAGGAAATGAGGAAGTACTTTCCATTTGTTATAAATAATTTATGACGTCATATAACAATTGAAACTTCATTTCCCAGTTGTTTTGTGATAGAACAAGTGAACTAGACGGAGTTATCATCGGTATTGTATAACTTTGAATTCTAAAATGGATAAATATTTTTAACCGAGTTGTATTATGGTTACGAGTCATTCAGTATGCAATATTACCTTTCTCATGTTCAAATGTGGAATTGACAGTTGGAATACCATTATCAGTTAAGTTTCCACTTGAGATTTCGTTATCAGATGTGCAAAGCAAGGGTTTCTAAAAGATAAAAAGCATCAAAAGTCGAAGATCGACTATCTATAAGAATTTTTACAATACCTACAAAAAACGTAAACAATAACTTCATAAAGAAACAAAAGCTACTTTAAAAACAAACCTACTATAATTAATCATTGTTTACGGTTGTATCTGAGGAAAAATACTCATTATTATTTAAGTATAGTTGATAGATGATCAACCACTGACATGGACTATACAATACACTATTATCACTTACCAGAAAATGCAATCAAATACTGGACTTTTCTATTGCCTCTGTCGGATTTTTCCATCATGATCTGAAATGAATTACGTCAGCGTTATACATACGAATAATCACTGTAGGTATGACTATACAATATTCGATACAATCAACTTGATTGTCGGTAGTACTATTCAAAGGCCTTTAAACCTATATAATGAAATTACATGCAAAATGTTATTTGATAAGCTTTGATTTTATTGAATCAAAGGCCCCATTTATATTTATAAACAATTAGGTACCTACATCTATTTTAATTCAAATGGAGTTACTGAAGAACGTACTTTGAAAGGTACTTTCATCTGAAAGATCTTTGTTCGTACTGGTACGTGATGAAGTACCTACTTATTTACTAACAAAGCTCCCTTAGGTTCTTAAGTACCTACGCTAAACAATCATAACTATGTACGAGGACCTTTGAGAAGAAGATTGGCTACATAAGTGTTTAATAGATTCAGGCATAGTAAATTTTTCCAGTTTGATGGAAGACCATGTTAATAAATAAAGTCCCTAAACCAAATTTGTTTAGGGACTTTACTTAATACTTGTGAACGTGCGACATATAAACGTAGTTTAGTCATTTTTTGTACTAACTAAACAAATTCAATCACATAATAACTAACATAGTGATTGAGCAATATCCCTAAAGTATTGTGAAAAACAAGGCAGCAAGTATAGCATTTTTTATGGTACTAGAGCTTTTTCTATAAATTTCGATATCCCTTATTCGTTTTAATAAAAAGCATTATCTACATACGTAACATATTAACTATGAAAAAATTAAAATCAAAGTACGTATTTAAATAATTACGCGTATTAAAGGATGTATTTCCAAAAACGTGCCGATGCTCGCATAACGGCTGTTAGACAATGCAACAATATTATCAAATATCAAACATGCGCAGGACCTGGGAAGCCAATCAATGAGTAAAAGGACTAAGTGACAGGTAATTGATAGTTTGGAGTGCACGAAGAGAGTCTCCCTATAAAGGCCAATTCAGATAAAAGCGAAATTTCCTACCGCTGTGGGTAGCGAAAAATATTAAAATAAAGTAGGTATGAAGTTCTATGGCAAAACCGAAACCAAAATACGGCGCCAGGACCGCTCGTTCGGCGGTATCTTTTCGCTTGCTTTGCGAAACTGGTTTCGCGGTGCGGTATTCCGCACACCCCGCAAGTCAGTGACGAATATTTGTCATAAGTAGAACCAAGAATTCATTTGCGATTATGACGTTTAAATAGTGAAATGTTAAATTTATTGAAATGCACGGTGATAATAAAAAGTTTTTAATTCGGGTATTAGAAAAATATTTGTTATACTTTATTCTTGTAATATCCGAGTTCTTGGGTTTTCGCGATTGCTACACATTGGAAATGAAATTATTTTTTTCAAATTTAAAGTGTATATTTGAATTTTCAAACATTTTGGACGTTTCGGATGGTTAGAAAAATTAAAAGCAGACAAGATTAAATAATAAATAATAAATAACGCACACACTCAACATAGCCCCGCACTAGGGAAACCCTGTGTCGCGGGTGCCATGGACACACACATAGACAACCACAAATTACACCCAAACTCATGAGAGAAATAATTGTAGGCCATACAACTATTTCTCCCGGCCCGGGAATCGAACCTGGGACCTCTGCGTGGCAGTCCGGCATGGTAACTGTTCGGCCAAGGAGGCAGTTAAGATTGTGGTACTGATCATATAAATGTTTTGTTTTATTTCAAATACAGTAATTAATTTAGATTTAAAAAATCATGGTAATAAAATATTTTCATATTACAGCAAAGGTTGGAATAGTTTTTAGTAAATTAAAAAGAAGGTATCTACATTTTTGGTATTAATCGTATGATTTGTTGCCGTTTAAATAAAATAACAAAATTTTAATTTAAACCTGTAGACATGTGTTACGACCGGCTGCCGAAAGTGTAAACAGTTGTAGAGGCTGATATGCGATCTACTTTACTCATGTTAACCGGTGTTTGAAACTGTAAATTTCGATTTTTGTATGAAAGTAAAATCTGATAAATTATTAAAAGTCATGGAACAAAAGTTGTTGTTTATGATGTTAGTAATTATAGTCTTGGGATGTTGTTAGTATTTTAAAAATAACCCCGTATACATCTTTTTTTGTTCTCTACAGGTTCGTCAACACGAAGAAGGCTATGTAGGTACCATTGACCTATCTACCATTTGGTTAGTCAACTCAATGCGTGCTTTTCTAAAATCTATTTATAAGAAATATTAAGTATTGGTTATTATACTATACAGGGTGTCCGGTAACGAATGTATCATACTGAAATGGCTTATAGCACAGCTTAAGACTGTTCCAAAAAAAATGCAAAAAAAAATCTATTCCATGTAGTAACCTAAGGAATGTTTTTTTTTCTTAAAAGTTAATTATTTTTATCTTATTTTAGGTTTTTGTGCACTATGACTACAAATGAATGAATTTATTTGGTTTTTTGGTGTCATAATATTCTACGGTAACTGTGTCCTTAGATAAGCAGTAAATGGTATGACTAAGTAATGTACTTTTTTTTAAAAAAAAGTTTAACTTCATTTTTCAGAGAAATAATTTATTTTTTACGAAGTTTACGCGCCTTCTGTATGATAACCTGTGTGGCCAAGTACTTTAAAATAATGTAGGTTTAATGAGGATTTCAAAATGATATCATTTCTCATTGTATCTAATGTAAATATGAAATAATTGCTATTAATGTGCAAACGGAGTAAATTTTACTAAAAACTATGTTTGCAAAAAATGTATCATACATTCATTACCGGACACCCTGTATATACCTATAGATTTATGTATTACGAGATTTAGTCATTCGAAATGAACGATTGTTATTATTAGTTATTTAACTAGCGCTAAAGTAATAACGCCTACAATTAAAGTCAGGTTTGGTTTAAAACGAAATGTCTATATGTAGGAAGTTTATTAAGCTACTCATAATATACAGCATAGCAAGATCTTCAAAAAATTCAAAAGGATATGATTGGAAAGTCATTAAAACATGGCAAAACGCGGTGTTATAAGACCAGTCTGATAATATCGTGTCTAGTTCTAATAATACCTTAAAATTTCCGTAAATTCGGTCAGTGATAATATAAAACAATATCGTATTTTAAACAGGTACACCTCTCTCGTGTGCATTATTAGGTATTCTAGGAATAATCTGTTACTAAGGTTAATCAAGTACTAAAATAGTAAACAAAAAACAAATAATCATCTTTTAATTCAAACAAAACACAAATGACCTTTGCCATCACTGTATTTATTTTCATAATTAACTTGCGTACTTAGTTTGAATGTAGGCACCTAGTCTAGATTCTGGCTTATCTAACACAATTAATAATACTGATTTAAAGTTAAACAGCATAAACTGTTTAACGTTGCTTTTTAAAATTTTTTTTTTATGTTTAATTACCTTCATTTTAGAAATTGGTTGTCTATTGTTGGATGTTGTTTATTGTATATGTTGGATTTAACTCGTGAAAATTTTCGTAGTATGATTTTCTACGACTTTAAGTGTAAATTAATAGCTCAGCGGAGCTTCGCTCGGCTTCAAACTGCTTTTGGCGATGAAGCACCATGCAAGAGGACTATTTATAGCTGATTTGCAGAATTCAAACGCGGTTGTATGAATCTCAGTGACGAATTTCGTGATGGTCGCCCGTCCACTGCTGTGAACAAAAGAAACATCGATGCTGTGCGCCGTATGATCAAAACAGACAGGCATGTGACATACCATGAGATTCGAGCATCTTTAGGCATAGGCATGAGTCAAATACAATCAATACTACACAAACATTTGGGTGTGAAAAAGCTGTGCTCTCGGTGGATCCCACACAATTTGACTGAGGCTCAAAAACGGATCTCGTCACATGGTGCAATGCCATGTTTACCAGATTCAACGAAGGAGCGTCAAATTTGGTGTGAGTAACAGGTGACGAAACATGGGTTTATAGTTACGATTCCAAAACAAAGCAGCCATCGAGCGTATGGGTCTATCGGGATGAGCCAAAACCGACCAAAGTGGCGCGCGTGCAAAGTGCCTCTAAGTGGATGATTGCTTCTTTTTTTAATAAAACTTGATACATGGCTACTGTTGCTTTGGAGAATCGTTGTACCGTGAATAATGATTGACACACGACCATTTGTTTGCCGGAAGTTATTGACAAACTCCGTAAAAATAATCGTAAACGCCGTATCATCTTGCACCACGATAATGCCAGTTCTCACAAGGCCAGACAGACAAATAAAATTTTGAAGGTGAACAACGTTGACCTTATGAGTCAACCTGCGTACAGTCCCGACCTGGCACCTTGTGACTTCTTTTTATTTCCAAAAATTAAGAACCAGTTACGCGGTCAACGATTTTCATCACCTGAAGAGGCTATCGAAGAGTATGAAAAATATGTTTCAGAGATTGTCACGGAGGAGTGGCATAAATGTTTTCAAACTTGGTTTATTCGTAATTTCTTCATTGATTCCGCCTTATTTGTAACATTCGAACATTCTATGTAGTACTAGAGAAGCCTTACATAATCCTTTGGCGGGGGTTTAATTACTATTGGCAGACCACGGTCTGCTCTAATGACTTTTTCGGTGTACTTTAAACATAGAGCCAGCACGGCAGGGCGCAACTTGTGCGAGAGCGGCATAAAGCGCGAGTTACTCTATGCGAGAATAGCAGGATCTCGTACTTTATGTCGCTCTCACGCAAATCGTGCTAATCCTACTCGTGAACGAGGCTTTTGATTTTGAACTATGGAGATTCCTTCATCTCTACAAATATTCAAAATGTTGGGAAATTGTAGCTTGCTGTAAATACTTCTATTTAAAAAATAATATACATATTAATATATACCCGCTATTATCTAGCTATTCCTTTCTCTGATGATTGTTTTTACACATATTACTTATAGTAGATGAGTACATGAACTATTTTTCGTAACTGTTATTAATTGATTAACGGCTGATTGAAATTCAGTAGAAATTCTTTGCGTAATGAAATAGCACATATCTTTCTCTTCTCGTAGAAATATAGATAGGTCTCTGGTTGTATGTAGATTACATTACAGTTTTTTCACAATTGCCAATCTTTATTTTAATTCATAAGCATAGGTATTACCTCAAATATAATCTTCATCTATACGGACCCCATAGTTTCTTTTACTTTTTTGACAGGGATTTAGTTGTGATAAGTAAATACAAATACATTTTTTTAAATATTTTTAATTTTTACATTTACTTATGCGCGCAAGTCTCATGGTTTGTTCCAATCCATTTTAAACAAAAAGTAAACAAACCTGTTTGGTTAAAATTCTAAAGCAATCACTCTATAAATCGAATAACACTTTCACGTATATTTCGAAGATTTCGACTTGATATCTCATCACTTTTTCCAACAATATTCATTAGAATGGCATCTTAAAACCGCATTTGAAAAATGGTAGTCCAAAAGTGAGGTTATTTTTCATTTATGCTTCTATGACTTGTCTATGGTTGCATAGTGCTGTACGAAAAAAAAAACATTTGGTTCATTCAATTAAACTTTTTGTAATCGACTAGTAAATCGAAAATTTCAATCGCTATCGAACGGGTATCTAAGTGTAAGGATTTGAAGGATTTAAAATTAAGATCTCGGAAATTTTAAACATATGCTTTTATAGGTTATGTATTTTTATGCAAGGAAAAGTAAGTGCTAGTATGACTCAATTGACCAAATCGATTCATTCAATTAATTAATCGATTTGTAGTTGGCATTACAACTGGCCATCACTAAACCGTCTATGGTCAGGTCAGTGACTTGTTTGTTTACTTTTTGTTTGAAATGGATTGTAACGAAGTGTAATATCGCAGCTTAAGAATTATCAAAATTCGATCACTTCAATAAAACCCTAAAAACATATAGAAATGATTTTACAGACCTACTCTACAATATTGTAGACTATCAAACACAATGTGCCTATTTATCGAGTTCTTAGGTTTTCGCAATTGGTTCACATAGGAAATGAAACTATTTTCCCGTATTTAAATCGCGTAATTTGTTTTTTTAAATAATATAATTTTGCAGGTATTTTCAAATCGAGGTAATCTATGTTATATGTATTTTTTAAGAAATAGGCACATAGTTAATGAAACAATTTTTCCGGAAATCCGGAACTCCAGAAAAATAGTATATAGGTAATATAATCTTTAGTAGTAGTTTAGTTCATTCAGGGAAGTACTGCCACTTTACCTATTTCTGCCGCCAAGCTGTAATGTGAGCATTACTGCATTCTGGTTTTGAAGGGTAAGGATGCTGGTGAAATTACAGGCACATGGGACTTTTCAACATGTCTCAGGGTGATGGCTGCAGAGGCAGTGCACCTCAGATCTTGGCGATTTAAAGCTCTGAGTGGCACTGCAACTGTTATGGGCAATCGTGTCATCTACCATCCCAGGTGCAGGTGCATACCAGGTGCACGACGCGTTCGTCCCATCATTTAGTAGGTATTATAAAAAAATTATCATTTTCATTTCCTATTGTATTGCATGTTTCAATTTGGCTCAAAATCTGCTTGCACTAAATTGATACAATACAATACTAATAATATAATTTATAAAATATTCCGTAACTTTTAAAAACTAACCGTATGCTAACATCGTGCTAATTGGTAAAGACAAGAGTTTGGTTACGTACGTTAAAATATTTATGTACCGTATTGACTATATTTACAGTTTTTAAAGAGTCACAATGATCTTTTACTCGAATTGGAACCGTAACTATGTGAGAACGTCAAACAATAACATTTGCCTACCTATTATTTACGGCTTGATTATATAGAGCTACCACTTACCAATTAGTAGGTATAAATATTCTTGTATGCTCTTATGTTTGTATTTGTATAGTTTAAACTTGTTATATTTTTCTGCATTACTTAATTATATTCTATGTATAGTTTAAACCTTTATTTAGATATTTTCGAGTAGAGTCGATAGCGAATCAGATTTCACTTCTCATTGAGTAGATACTATAATACGTCTTATATGTTCTCTACAATAAGGCGGTAAGTTTTTTATTCCTCTCTCAAAGACTTGTATAATTTTAGAGCGATAATATACGTACTTTTTCTAAATTTAATCACACACGTGATGTAACGTGAACTCAGGCGCAGACTTCCGCTAACACAAAATTATTACAAAATTATCAGTTATCACACCGTCTCACTGAAGTTAATAAATTTTATATATCTATGATTTATATACTTATTAGCAAACAATTTATAATGAGTAGTACAAAATTGATTTAGCTAAACTATTTTTAAAATGACTTAACACATTTTCACATCTCGTATAAGCGTCCGGCCACTACGTATTCTCCATCCACACTGTCATGTGTCGCTACATGATTTATAATTATTTTAAGCACGCGAATGTTTCGCAATGCTATGCAACTGCTGTCAATTGTTTTGAAAACTTTATGTACCCAGTGCAACTCTGGTCTTCGGTCAGAGTAGATACAAAGTCAAACCGTGTAATGTTAATGACGTGTCACATAAGTTGAAGGTCATCTAAACTTGGTCAATGTCAGTAGCAACGTTAAGGTAGTGGATCGATAAAATTGCGATAAGGGCCTTATTATCGCTATCTATAATACCATAAGCACATTGAAGAATGAGAAGTCAGGGCGTTGTCCGACAAGCTGCATTATGGTCACAAAATAACAGCTGACTTACAAGTCAGCAGACAGCACTAGCAGTTGGCAGTTACGATGCCACTGCGAGTCGTGTTTCGGAATGGTTAACGTCGTTCTATAAATCGCACCCCTCATGGAAGAATGGCATAAGTGGAGTTACATCAAAAACGTTTATTGCCCCATTAGATTCAGAAAAATATAGCCCACGTCCTCACCAATTCTTGTAACTATCGACTAATATTGTAGATAAACTGCGACTATTCTAGATAATCGTAATTGGCGTGTAGAATGTACAGCCCATTTGGTCGGACTTAGGGTTTCTGATTTCTCGACATATTTTTTTCTCGAGCTTCGGGAAAACTCGAGCCCGATTTCCCGGTTTTGTCGAGTTCCTCGAGAATTTTTTTAAGACCTTAAAAAATTAGCTTAGGCAACAATAAATACAAACAAAAACAAACACAATTAATTTAGCCATTACAATCAACGTAACAAAACAAAACAAATCACATTACAAACTACTGTCTTTTATGAAAAAAAACATCAACAAAATATAAATCATCTTAAGTCTATCTTTGATTCCTATTGGATTTTAATGAAGCATACTTCCAAAAAAAAACAGTGCAATAATAGCTTCATTCGAATGCCTGCTTCGTATTTTTGTGAGCATATTTCCGGAATTTCTCGAGTCAAGAAATCTCGAGCAGAAACCCTTGTCGGATTACGCTTCCTATGTGTACATTCTTTCACTTTCAGTCAATTCTCATCCAGCATTTCCGTTTCTTCATGTAGCAATGAGCTGTTTAAACAATATAATATTATATATTAATATACACCCACCTTAAAAGTCAACATTTTACGCCGCCTCCCGTGGACGGAACTTCGTTTCACGTAGGTATGGTTTCTGTACTTTTTATATAGACATTTGTTAAAATTAACTGTATGACTGCTGATCCATTTGTATTAAAAATTGAACGAAGTCAGTTTTATGAAATATACGCAATGACATTTATTTAGGTTTAATTTACATTGCGTCGGAATGGAATGGAAGCGAATTTTTGTAACGGTATTGTACATAGCATAATGAACTTTATAATTGACCATAAAATGTGTATGTACATACAAACTAGAGCCAGATACGAGCCAAAATCTTCCGCGAAATTCTCGCGCATCATCGCTTCCATTCCGTTCCGCCGCAATATAAATTGAGCCTTAGAGCACTAAAAAAGGTTGTATTATAAAAAAAATAAAAGGTTGTATTATGATAACAATTTCATTATTATGAATCACTGGCCACGTACAAGATCGTTTAATCGAAATCAAAAGATTAAAGGATTAAAGTAATTATTTTTTCAAATTAAACTTCTGTAGGTCTAGCACGACAGGTCGCGACTTGTGGTCGTTTAATTAGAAACACTTCTTATGATTGAAGGAAGTTTAACTTCAACGTACAAATGTTCGTGAAAAATATATAAATTCAATAATAAATAATCATGCAATAATATAGCCACTCAAATAAAAAATCATTAAATGCATAAAAAATAAAACATATCTTACTTTTAATTATAAAATGAGTCTTACACAATGTACGAGTATATTTTCTGTTCCTGGCCGCTTGGACGTCTAATTAGAAACATTTGAAAAAAGCACTTTAGCTCGTTCTTTTTTTGAAATTGAAGAATAACATTTCTTTCTTGATGTTTTCTATTAATTTGGCGGCAATTCACAATTTGATCTGAATTTAATTTTGTTCAAAATGGGCAAAAATAAAAGTTGTGACGCGTCAACTAGGCAAATAATTGTTAATTTACATTTAGATCAAAAGTGGACGTACAGAAGAATAGCTGAGCATTAAAATTGTTATGTGAAGAAAGTTTTTAATGCTATTGATCACTATAAAACACATGGAACTGTTGAAAATGTTCTTAGAAAGGCTCGGCCAAGAAAAACCTCTCCCAGAGAAGATAAGCCAATCGTCGTTGCTAAAAAAGACCCATTTAAAGCCTCAAACCAGATTAAAAATGAAGTTTTTTCGCCTGAAGACCCCAGAAACGTCTCATCAAGACTGATACGCCGAAGATTAGTGGAAGCTAAATTGTTTGGAAGAACCTCTCGAAAGATACCGCTTCTTACCAAGCAACATCGAGAGAAGCGATTATTATCCGCAAAAAAATATGTTAATTGGACGGTACGAGACTGGAAAAAAGTTTTATTTTCAGATGAAACGAAAATAAACATGGTAAATTCAGATGGAAAGCGCTATGTTATACGTCCTGTAAACAGTGCTTTTAATTATAAATACACAAGGAGCATAGTCAAGCATGGTGGCGGAAACATTAAAGTTTGGGGGTGTTTTTCCGGATGTGGAGTTGGTCCCGTTCGGAAGATTGAAGGTACAATGGATCAATGGCAGTACAAAAATATCTTAGAGGACACAATGTTCCCTACTCGGACGATCATTTGCCTGTAACATGGATCTTTCAGCATGATAATGATCCTAAACACCCGGCCAATAGCGTCAAATGTTTCCTTAGCGAACAGCGTATATCCGTTTTAGACTGGCCAGCAAATAGTCCGGATTTAAACCCGATAGAAAATCTGTGGTATATTGTTAAGAAAAAAGTCTCAAACAAACGTAACACCAGTCAAAACGAATTATATGAAGCATTTGTTGAAGCATGGAATTCAATCCTCCTAGAAAAATGTATGACATCATTGACTTACAATTATATGGACGTCGGGTCCGCGCTAAAAAGTGTCCGCACTTGTAAGGCGCTAAAATCGTATACAGAGCGCGACACTCCGCTCTAGTCTTCATTTGTTCTACTGACAGCGCGATACTGCGATGACATTACAATTTAAATTTCGAATAGGTTGACTTGGGACATTTTTTTCGTGGTTTTTGTATTAGACCCGTCGTCCATTTATATGTAAGTCAATGTATGACATTGATTGAATCAATGTCACGTCGTCGCAGAGCTGTTATTGAAAATAAGGGATACGCCACTAAATATTAATTATAAATATTGGTAGGCTGTGGAAAGTAGCTATTTCGTAAATAAAAATACTAATTGCTAATAATTAAAAAAATGTTGTTTTTTTTTTACACTTTTTTGTTGTTGTTTCTAATTAGTTGTCTATTATTGTTTACACCTTAAAACAGATTTAAGTGTTTGTCCGTAATGTAATATTGAAACTGCACTTGTGTAGTGGGATTTATATTGTTTTTCTAATAAATAATAAATCTTTGAACCTATTGTTATCCTGTTTATTGTTTAATTTCAAAATAAAAACGAATGCGGTGAAGTTTCTTACATAATGTCAAGGACCGTTTGTAGTGTTTCTAATTATACGACCACATATATATATATATATAAGCGAACTCTCTCTATCTAAATGAGCCTTAATTCAACCGTAATGTGTCCATAAGTACCTATATTATAAAAAAGTATCATCCTAAAGATGTGTTTTGTCAGGATGGATTCAAACAAAAGTATTCAGTGGAATAATTTTATTCTTTATAAAATAGTAATACGAGATATTTATAAACATACCCTACAAGTATTCTAGAAATCCATCACATTAGTCTTACTTAACTACCCTCCAGGTTTTTCCTTTTCAATTTCATCAGAATCAGACATTTTTACTTACAAATGTTATCTAAATCGGCCTTAATTTTTTTTATTCCTGCATTTCATAGGCCAATTTTAAATCTAAATTTTGAACATTGCTAAACTGCAAAGATACCTAATAGTTAGGTACTATTTTTAGTCGCTACATTGATTACAATTCAAGTAGATAAGTTTTCCCTTTGTAAGTACAATCGCCAATAAAAAAAATCTAATTATTAAGCTGGATTTAGCGAAAGGCTTGCGCCAGCGCAGTCAGTAAGCGACGCGTGTGCAAATATAACGTGATTACCACAAATCGGAGTAGGCAGAAACTTCAATAAAGTAATACATATAAAGTGGATAATATCTCCCGTTGACATATTCACTTTACAATATTTTGTTCGGTATTTTTGATGCATAACTAGCAATTTCTTTACTATGGTAGTGTATTTCGTCAGTGTTTTGTAGAAAGAGAGAAAACGCCATTTCGAAAATTTTGTCAGGGAAGCATGTTTTAAAATATTTACATCCTGTTTTAAATTCAATTTTGAAACTTGAACTTGATTAAAACCAAAATTGAATTTTATAACAGGACGTAAATATTTTGAAACAATTGGTAAAACCTAAAACATGCTCCTGTGAAAAATTTTCCACGTTAATTTGTAACACATGATTCCACATTTTATGTTTTACCGAAACTATGTACGTAAATATTTGCATTTTATTTATGCAACTATGTCGCGTTTTTCTGTAGTAAGTCATTTGCAGTATAACCATGACACATTGTAAAAGAAAAATGTTTTGTACGGGAGTCATTCAATCTTTATTAACACAGAATCGGCTTGAACCGGTCTGGAAATGCATTATGTGCATGCAAAAAGAGCGAAGAAGACGTTGCGCGTTTCATTTCCACTCGGAGTGCGGATGGGTAATTTTTAAATTAGTTTTGTACCTAATTTCGGTGGCAATTTTAAAAAGTACCATGTCCTTAATGAAAACTACAATTTTTAAAACGAGGGAAACATTTTTCTTCGATAATAACAATATTTTTGTATTCCA